TCGACTAGCAGGTATGCATTTATATTGAAGTTGCTTGTGAATTTTGAGAATGAAGTATTTATGATAGCTCCTTCTATGCAGAAACTTACGTAGATTAAGTCTAGTTGAGGGTCAAGGTCCGTGATTATACCTATAGTACCATTTGTTATTTGGTGTTGGTGTTGTGAATTGGTGAGAAACATAACTCGTGTACCAGGTTGAATTCTGATGGTTTCTAGTAGGTTGGTTTTGTTTTTAAATTCGCGGAATATTGATTTGTCATTACATATTCGGTTATTAAAGACGTCGATGCTGTTAGAGATCATGAATTTGTTTTTTTGGGTGGGGATTATGGTGCACATTAATCTGTTAATCAAGTCTACATTTTTCCTGTAGCCTACTATGTGTGTGGTATTAAGGGTGGTATTTAATTCGGATGATCTGATTGTTTCGTGGTTTTTTTGGGATAGCATTTGCCATGTTGTATTATCGATCTTACCCATTCTTATTTTTTGTAGTAGGTTATAGAATTGGGTGTCTTGGCTTTGTCTTTGGGGCTCATGGAGAAATAGTGGGTAGAAGATTTTCCAAATTGGGAATTGGTAGACAGGAGAGCCAGTAACTGAAGGTAATTGGGCCAGATCACCGACTAAAATAACGTTGATGCTTCCGAATGGGTATTGTTTTTGTGTAATGATTCAAAAAGTTCAGAAATGTATGTTAGGAGTTGGCCCGATATCATGGATATCTCGTCGATAATGAGAGTGTTTATCTGGAGTAGTGAGTTGTTTAGTTCACAGTCATGAAATGCGAGAGTTCAGAATCCGTATTCATCAGAGATGATTCGTAGTGCAGAGTGAATTGTTGATCTACTGATGTTTTGTGCAGCGATTCCGGTTGGTGCTAACAATAAGTAGTTTCAGTTGGCTCTTTGAAAATCTTCTAATAATAAGTGTATCATGTAGGATTTTCCAGTGCCTGCTGAGCCTGTGATAAAGAAGAAGGGATAGTGTGAACTGTCTTGTGGACCTAGGTAGTTATTTATTGTTTGTCGGCAGTGGTATTGACTGGGTGGTAAGTTTATAATGGAGTTGATGTTTATAATTCGTGGTAATATTTTTATGGAATTTAATTGGATTTCTATTATGTTTAGGATATCTGTTGTTAGGATTGAGTTTAGTGATGAGGTTATTGTTTCGATTAGGGTGTTGAATTGGTCTAAGGCATGCGATGTTTGTCTTAGTGTAAATTCGTTATTTTGTTTGTAGATAGATTGGTATATGGTTGGGAAACAAGCAAGGAAATGGTCTCTGTAATTCTAGTAACTGCCTAACATTTCGTTTTCAGATCTGCACGGAAATTTTAGTAGAAGCTGTTGATAAAAGAATAATTCACCATGTTCTATTCGTAAAGATCGCATACGTGTGAGTATTTGGTTATTGCGTTTGACAACAAAATTTCTGAGATTATCTTGGTATACTGTTCTGTTAGATGTGTTTGGACGAGTTGATTTTATTTCGTAGGTTTCAAAGTAGGTTTTATATGACATGTTGTCAAATATAGGGTCGCGTGGTCATACGAAGTATTTTTCGATTTTATCATTCCAATAGGGGTCATCTTCGAATGAGTCGAGTATATATAACAGAATAACTGCTTTTGATCGAGTGGAAGGAGGATCTGTAGTCAGGTATTAGACTTGTATTGATGAGTTCACTATACGCTCACCAAGCAGTAGAAACATTATCTCCATTGAGCCCATTCGTCGAGCATGAATATATTCACGATAGTGTATCTGTTCACGTACGTTGAATAAATGTGTAGGTTCTGATTTGCTTATATATTTTGTTATGTATCTGGTGAGTCCTTTGTTAGTTACATATTGGATATTCATATGAGCGTTCCATATCATTAATGTAGGAGCATGATACGGAACTATCCACTGATCTTCTGGTTTTAGATATCTGTAAGTATATCTGTAGTTACTTGGGTCATAAAATGTGTATTCGGAAATAGGACGAGGAAATCCTTTTTTGCATGTTGATCCTGGTGGGGCTGGACCTTCGCATTTAGAGTTGCATATATATGTTTGAAAGTTACGGACTTTTTGGTAAAGTTCTGGTTCTAGGTTAGGGTCGGGAAGGGTTGATCGAATGGTATTTGAATTAATCATTTCTAGTATATTTGATATTGTCCAGTAAACACTATGTAGATGTGCTGCTCCACAGTTTTGAAATTCTATTCTGTCAAAAAAGTGAGAGTAGATTCCCCATTCACTAATGTTTGGATCTTTCCAAATGTATTTTTTGATGTTTTGTAGTCTGTGAATGAAGTGTAATATTGCATGTAATGGTCTGTTGGTTGGCAATGGGTCTTTATTATCTGTGTTAGCGAGTATGTTGTGAAGGTGAGTCCACAAACCTTCGGCTATTGTTAACATAATGAATATTGTTGGGAGGCCAAGTTCGTGGATAATTGTGTTCAGATGCATATTTTTTTTTGGAAAGTAACTATCACCTGTACGAATGAATGTAGGGATTGGTGATGTCTTTGTTTCACTGTAATGCCAACTGTCAGTATAGGTGCTGCGTTCGATAATTTCGATAGCTGTAGGTGGGCAGTGAGTCTCATCAGTCGCAAATTGTCTGACGAGTCGCAAGTATTTTGGAAATTCCTTAATTTTTTCAGTTGTAGATAAGCCCATGCAGGCCAGTAGAGATATAGTCGAAATCGAGAATCTTCAGAAAGTAAGCGATGTTTTATATATTTTCTTAGAGTGTCGTGGAGTCGTTGTAAATTTTCTAATTAGTTTCGCATATCATAATAGTGGCCACGACCATCAGGATATAGGTCTGGAAAGAGTAGTGCTTCGAGATGCGGATCGTTTAGGGCGATTGGGATTTTGTTTATATTATCATTAGCCACAAATCCAGCTATTAAGTGATGATAGTTTGCATCTTCGTTGTGGATTTCAGTGGGAAAATTTTGGTAGGGGACCACTATGTCTCCGTGTCGAACTGGAGGTGTGTTTTCATCGACAGATGAATGGAGAGCCACAGGAAATTGGAGGTTTGAATTTAATGTTGGTGGAATCATTAGTGAATATTGGCGTATGTATGGATTGTTTTCCTTGAGCCAATTAGTAGCATTGATCAGAGTATTGTTAAACCAGAGAGGAAGTACAAATAGAGTAGAAGTCGGAGAGGTAAGGTAAGCGCCTAGTAAGCCTGAATATAAATTCAGGGAATTGTAATTTTGTGAGTAATTCATAGTACTCACTAGCGTTCTGTATTCGGAAAAGGGATTGGCTCCAGGTGTTCTACCTAGAGAACAATGGAGAAAAATAAGAGATAAGTGTTTGCGTAATTTTAATGGTACCGATTTGATTTCAGTTGGAATCGGATATAGGTATGGTGGATAATTTCGTATTGGATTTGATTTGCATGGGGGACATATTGCAATACGGTTTGCGGGTGGAACCGGGTTTGTGATTAATGATCTATAGTTTTCAAGTGGATACAGAGTGTTAGGATTTCGATGAATCCACATTGATTTTTCTGGGTACATAAGTCTGGAGCAAATAGAACAGGGAACGCATAGAAATTGAGAAAGAATAGTGGTTTCGAATTTTTCTATTAGTTCTCGCATTTTTTCTGAGATTACCTATAGAGATATTTCGGGGTGAGGTGGATCGTCGAATTGGGTATTGTTTTGGTTAGAGTGTTGTGGTTGTGAGTTATTATCATTGGAAGTTAGATCAATTATTTCTTCATTGTATTCTAAGGGTTCGATTTTGAGAATCCTATGTATGTGGAATGACATATTTAAATCAAAGAAATTTGGTTTATCAAAAGTATTCGGTTTAACAAAGGTATTGTTTTATCAAAGATATTTGTTTTATTAGGCGATTTGATTATAGAGTTATTTAAATTATAGTTGGAAATTTGGTGGTATTTATAATTGAGAAAGTATTGATGCGATCCAGTAGCATTTGTTTTTAAAGTGAAATTAATTTACAGTGATAATTTAATAAATAGATAATACTATTAATTGTATTTATAACTATATCAGGAAGTCAAATATTTTTTGTATTATTGAATGTATACGGTAAAGATGTACAAATCCTTATTTAAGTGTATATACGTATGCATTTTTAAATATTTTAAATAAAAAGTTAAGGCATGTTTATCAAATATCTTAATAAGTATCTGTACGATCATTGATATTGACATATCGTTGTGCTATAGAAAGGGTTAGTCGTAAAATTTTTAAGTGTAATTTAATTTGGATTTGTTTAACAATTGTATTTACCTATTCATTTATTTATTGCATTTATTTTGGTTAGAGATACAAAGAATCGCCGATATAACAGTGTTTTTAAGATAATTTTATTTTGAGAGTCGATCTGGCCCGGAAGTTGGCAGTATGGATTTATTTTACATTTTTGGAAGATAAAAATATTCTGGCTTTTATTAATTTATTGATTTTATTTAACTTTACTACATCAAGGTAAGACGTCATGGGATTACGAATCAAGATGAGTAATAATTGGTAATCGTTGATGTCATATGCGAAAGTTTGATTATGACTTTTTTTTTATATACGATTATTTTCATATAAAATAAAGAAGGTTTAGGATTAAGAAATAGGAGATACGGCAATCGAATTTATTTCAAACATTGATTAGTTGACTTAGTTTACAGGTAATAAGTAATCATTTTTGTAATTCATGTAATTTGTGTTATAATTTTAGATATATAAATAATATTTTATTTGTTATTTATTATAAGAATGTAAATATAAAATAATAGATAAGAATGTAAATATTTATAGGTAAATATATGAATATATATAATATTCATTAAAACTATTTGTAGAAAAACTATCTGTAGTATTTAAAGAAGGCATAATCCGGTATGTCGAAGGGGTACTAATTATTTATGAAAAGAATAAAAAAAAAAAAATAAGATTAATAATTTTTAAGTCGAGTATGTATTGATGTATGTAAATGTTAATATACTTATTTATTCAGTAGCAGTTTGATTAGATGTATTCGGATCCGAAGGTTTATTTAGAAGATCATTTGCCAAATCAGTAACCTTTGGACGAGAGTTGGTTTTAAGATATGGTTTAGCGGTAGGTATGGTTTTTTTTGCGTCGGGTGCTTCCTTTGACTCTGGTGGCTATGGTTTGAGCAATGGTGGAGGCATTTTGCTGATTCGTATTATTTTGGTCAGTCGATTCCCATGAAAATTGCATCGAATTATTTTTTGTAATTGTATTTAATTTCTGGTATTCCGGAAATGAAACAGCACGAATATGAACTATGTTATCATCATTGGTTATCATGAGTTCGCCGTTAATATAGATTACAGAATCTTTCTTTATAGCAGCGGTCGTATTTGTTAAATATCGTGCAGAAGTGGGATGATAGCATGTTAGTTTAAGATTAACATAACCTTGGTCCACATAATTTTTGGTCAAAACATTAATGACTACATCTTCGTTATCAATTTCCAGGTCTTCTTGAACTAATGCCGTCATGTTGATTAATATCGGAAATGCAGGTAAATTGTTAGGATCAAGGGTATTAAAACGAACAACATCGTTTAAGGTAATCTTTTGTTAAAAGAAAAAAAAAAATTAACCTGAACTGTTGTCAATAGAAATCAGGCAGATTACATTTCCAAAAAAATTCATATCTTAGCTTTCATATCTTATGTCTTGATGAATTTTTTTTAAAATGCAATCTACCTGATTTTTATTAATAGCAGTTTATTTGTTTATTGATCGAATTTTTTACGTTTAATAACGAAAGTAAATTATACTTTTAATATGGAATATTTTTCATCGTTTTGGCCTGTGCCTTCAACGATATGAAAATTTCCAGTAGCGAGTACCACATCTTTGTCCTCAAATTCAGGTAAATTTAATTCTTGAATAGTATCATGGTGGTAAAACCCAGTTAAAATAACGTTTAGGGAAGAGTCTAGACTTCGGGATCTTACAATACCCGAAGCTTCAACAATTGAAAGATTTTTATTGGAATTAATTTTTTTTTGTAACTCGTCACGCAACATAACACGGTAATGGAAGCCGGCATTTTTTTATTTATTTTAATAATCGATGAGAGAATTGAAGAAAAATGAACGAGGAAAAAACACAGCTATTTATTAATCGATTATTTATCTTATTTTTTATTTTTAGAAAAGACATCAATTCTTTCATATGATTCAGATAATTAGTAACGGTACAGGAATATTACATAGATTCTATAACATTTCATTGTTTAATCAGGGAATTTTTTTCTAAAATACGTTTGTCTGTTCAAAGAATTTGAGATAACGAGTATATTTTGATCATCTGCGCGTTATTTTCACAGTTTACATCTTGAATTTCTATGTTAGTTAGCTATTTCTTTTCAGCATCAGTTCAATAATCAAGTTGAATCGAGATATGAGCTGTAAAAGCCAAGGTATTGCCTTTTTTTTCTAAGGCGTCAATCCGCTTGATTTCTATCGACGGCAGCTCGCATAATATGGCGTTAAGGTAGTTATTATTTACAGTAAAAAGAATCATTTTTTTCAAGGCAACAAAAAGTTATTTTTAAAAGGCTGTAATCTTCAAAACAACGCAATTACTGTATCAAAATAGTCACAAGGCTAAGATCGATCGTTTATCTAATTTAACTAATTTATACACCAAATTTAGATATTGATTGGATTATCTTCGTAAGTTATAAGGTGCCAGGGGTGTTGAATGTATATCCAATTATAAACATAGTGCAGGTGTAATTAGTGATGATGTAGCGGTAATGTGAATAGTAAAACACACTTAGACTGTAACAATTCTTGGTTTGTCAGGTTCATTTTAATGTACTTCTTTATTTAAAAAAATAGCAGCCATACCTTCTTTAATTTGTTGTTGTTTGTCTGAATGAAAAAAACTCAGCGGGAAGGTTTAATTTTCACACAAAATGGTTGTTTTTGATGTTTTTTTTAAAAAAATATCAAACACGTAACTTGAACATCTTGTCAACTACTATTATTTTTTTTATTAATACAAAAAAAAAATACAGATAGACAAACTTAGGAACTCGGGATCTTTTTATTTTTATCTTTATTTTCCGACGATGATGACAAAAAGTCGAACTCGACAAAAAAGGTCTACAAATTCTTCGCCACAAGTGTGGTCTTTGACGATCAATGATTATCAATTAATCTGCCCTATAAAAAATCTGACAAAAAAACAAAAAAAAAGCGCCGAAACACGCCTACAAATCTAGGGTAAGGGCAATAAAACAGCAAAGATGAAGTTCTTTTATTACTATTTGTGTCGTATCATACCTTTTTTTTATTCTTGTTCTTGCTGCGAAAACAATAATTCTTCTTGTACCTGCACTTGCACTTGTACTTGTACTTGCACTCGCTAATGATGATTCTTATTAAAAAAAGTATTACAAAAATGATGGGATAAAAATTTCCTTTCTTGGAATTACGAAGAAATTTTATCCGTAAATCATCTGCAGGAAGATGTTACGAGCTACAAAAAAGTTAACAACCTAAACAAAAAAGTTAACAACCTAAACCACTTACAGCACTACACACGCACGAATAAATACATATATGGAAAAAATGATCTGGTAAAATTGAGAATCTTTAAATAAAAAGAAACTAAATTTAGAATTTAATTAAATTATGCAAGATTTGATATTTTAGTGTAATAATAATTTGTAAGCCTGTTGTAACCTGTTGTTAATGTGTTAGGATTAATCAAGTCAAGAGGAATTCTCCAAAATTTGCAAAAAAAGAGTACAAATTTTTTGCAAAAATAATTCTAGAGTTTTTTGAATAAAAAATTAAATATCAAACCATTTTTAATATATTATATATCAAAATGAAGCTGAGAATATGCTGGTTCTTTTTGTATTAAGTAAGAGAGGCCTAATATTTAATAAAATTTTGAGATATTAGCTATAGAACGTTTCTATACTTTAGCTAAAATATCTTGTTAAAGAGCTAGTTACAAG